ATCCTTATCCTCTTTGGTTATACTTTTTCGATTTACTACACGCTAAAAATATCACTTTACATATGAACAAAGTAAAAGCACACGCTGACGACCCCTTCAATATTATTGTAAATCAGCTAGCCAAATCTAATGGACCCACTTTATCCTTCAATTTTAATGCCTTCAATTCCACCATGATCCCAAATTTTAATAATATGCCTGTTCTCCTTCCAACACGTCATTTTATCAAAAGTCTTCTACAAGCGAAACGCTTTAACGACGTCTTACTTATACCGCACTTTACAAAATATCGTTCACTAAAGGTTGATTGGAATGTTACCTTTCAAGTACTGCATGATAATGAAGCTAAATCTGCTACATCCTTCCGTGCCTCCTACACCAAAAAACAGAAAATTAAATTCATGTTAGAAATGCTTCCATCCTTAGAAGTTTTGAAAAAAAGAAGCCCATTACTATACCAACAAAACTGGACGTGTTGTAGATGTCAACTCGATTATGAAGATTTTAATCAGATCTGGACTTGCCAACACTCAATAGAAACTGTTATCGATATTATAGCATCCACAAAACATGAAATTTACCACCATCTATCGCTACTTAACAACAATTCAATTAACTCACAAAGTACAATTCATCAAATAATGACATCCTCCTTTTGGAACCCGGATCACAATCCAATTGACTTCTGTTTTATAGACCTCATTAAAGGCATAGTACCTTTTGACTTATCTAATTTAATACAGATCATTACAAATGACAGCTTCATTATTATGTCACTTATGTCACATATTTACCATCACGCTTATTCCTTCATCATTTATTTCTTCCTTTAGGTATGGTAATGACTGGTCAAATTTTTGGACAGATAGCAACCACGCTCTCCCATCTGGATGGTTAAGTTTCTTTTTCTCTTGATTGGGTTATTAGTCTAGAACAGTGCAGGATTGACTTTGATTTATTTTAATTGTTTAGAATACTTAGAAGTTTTTGTATTTTCTTTTCATGTCTTGTATTTTATTTATATTTTACTTGCTTTAAATAAAGATCATGCGAAGCTACCGCACTTAAAAAAAAAAGGTAAATTAATTTCAGAAGGTCATTTTCCTAGCTCACGCCCCATATTTCAAAAATCACGTCTTTTCTCTTCATTCTGACAGCTTTTATTTACTCTTCATATACGTAGTCATACTGATAGTAATAAACGCCAAATAGAAAAATAGTGAATAACAAAAATTAATTCAACTGAAAGACTACTAAAAGGACCAAATATATGAAATTTGGCAGTTATCAATAATATAGATTTCAAAGATAAAACTTTTACTTACGGAAATATTTTTGATGCTATGTGTAGAAGTTCTCATATAACGCTCAGAATGGCATTTCAAATGTGAATGCCAATTTCTTTAGAAGAAAGAGCATATGACAAGAAAAATATAACATCTTCAACAGGTCTTTTTAGTATGAATGATCTGATGAAAAACACATGGGATATGTTAAGGACAACTTACTTATAATACCGATTTTGATATGACAATTATTCACCAGAAAATTATCCAAAATGTAAGCCATAGTTATTCAGCTAATACACCTAATATAGTCATATTAGAAATTGTGGAAATCCCAAATTCAGATGAAGAAATATTTCAATCTACAGAAATGTATAAACAAGACTTTAATTTAGGATCAGATGACTACTTGGATGTGATGGCTGATGAAGCAATCTTTAGGAGACTTATCAAACAGCGAGAAAAATGGCCAAATCTGCACCCTATTCTTGGCCAGTAGTATATCTCCAAAGATATGTGTAGAGTTTAATCGTATTATTTTCAAGTTATAGAATTTTTGATTTAGCAAAAGAATTAGGAGTCAAATTTTTAGATAAATTGGATAAAATCGTTGATTATCATTCTACAGTTCGTATTTTGGAGTTAATATGGTGTGCAGTAACTATTGCTATTCACATTTATATAAAAAAAACAAACCTCAATAAAAATAATATAATGGATTTAAATAGTGGAACCAATAGTATTTTACGAATATGGTATTTGTATTATAAATAGGCATCGATTTTCAAAGCACATCACGTAGGAATTGTGTTGGTAATTATAAACTACAAAAAATGCTTTGGCTTGTTTTGCTAGTTTATTTGTATCAGCAGGAAAATCAAACTATTCAGTATCAGTTACTCAGTATCTCAGAATACTAGCTCAATTCCCAAAACTTGAAGAAAAATTGGAATGTGTACCATCTATTAAAATTGATAATGATGAGAAATTAAAAGGTTACTATTTTACATTTGACAAAGCTCTTAAAACATTCGAAGTTAAATTTATTAAATAGAATATTACCAGAAATGTAATTGACTAGAATAAATTAAAATTACAAGTCAAAGCTGCCTAAAGTGAACGAGATCGTATAGGTATATTATTATCAGAATATCTTAATAATCCTTATAGATCATTAGACAAAGAGCTATAAATACCCGTAAAATCTCCATATGGAATCTAGTACAAATCTTTTGTCAGCATTCGAGCATTCTGATAATTACAATTTTTATAAAATCCTTTATGGAATACAACTTCGTCTGATCAGATTACAGCAGCAAGTGTTAGACGTCTTAAAAACTGTTTTCCTGATGGATTTTGAGAATAGAAGCAATTTTCCTACAGGATGTTATTTCAATGCAAAAAAGTAATAAAGTTGAAAGAAGAAAGTTAGGAATTACAAGATGGAAACTTAATGACCAAAATTCAAAAAAAAAAGAAGAAACAATTGACCTCTCAAACTGCTGATGCATCAACATCCTATTCAAATACAAAAAATTCTAATCAAACTATTTCTGACCAGATACCAAATAATTTGATACCACAAGCATTGATACTTAATCAAGATGGATCGCTAATGAAAAAGTTGAAACAAACTCATCGTGAAACTAAACCTAAAAAGAAAAGAGCTTTTAGAACCTTTAGTGACTTATTTTGAGTATCCAACTAGTAATCAAATAAATCAAGTTAAAGAAAATTTGGGATAAATGGGATAAGGATCGAATTAGCCAATATATATCTCATCATAAACACAATAAGAACAATAAACATGAATAAAATTGTATTGTAATACTTTTTTTTATTTAAAATTCGAGCTTTATATATAAAATTCTTCAAAATTCTATTATATAAAAAACTATATCTAATTTTCTCTAAAACTTACTACTACAATTTGTTTTTTAAAGTGATTCTACCGAAAAATTCACTAAAAGTAAAGACTATTGGATACTTTTTTGGTTTAAAAGTTAATAGAAAAAGAATCTTGGGGTTTAGTGTCAAAATATGAGTGAAATTATCAATAATATAAATATTACAAAAAAGCAGAAAAGGTGAAACTTTCACTTTTTTTGTAAAAGAAATACTGACGAAAAAAAACATTAAAGACAGAATGACATTAGTATTGTAGCTTAGAGTAGTTTACTTAGAGGCGATCTTCTAGAATTTTAATATTACATAAAAAGTTATTATGATTAACATACTAAAATAGACATGCATACTGACTGATAATATTTTATTGTAAAGTATATGAGTGTATGTGATCTGTATAAATGCGTGTTTTAATAAATTTTTTGCTAAGTCACTATTATAATGATTATTTTATTGATCACGTGATCTCGATATTATGTGTAATGTAAGATCTTCCCCGTTACCTCTACCTCCTAAAAGTCACTACCCTAACCATGATTATAGATTATGTTTTTTAATAGCCTTAAAATCTATATTATCATTGCTTATGCAACATATTCCTAAAAAAATTCTTAAGGAAGACTTTCAATATATTAATACAATATACCCTAAATTGAAAGATCAGATTCTGAATATGGTTATGAAAGATGATACTGCTATGAAAAAGGAAAAAGTATAATGTATGTTATAAATAAAATTATAGTTATTTTATATTCACTAATTAAAGTCACAAATACAGAGCAAAAACTTCTTATTCAAGTTCTAATAGAAGAGAAGCTAATATTATTCAGCTAAAAAAAAGTAATATGCAAAGTATCTTACAACTAACTCCTATACACTAACCTAAACCCTTAAAGATAAATTTTCTTCAAATAAGAGATGCAGATAATGTTGCAACTAAAAATAAGAACTGTAATTAATATGTTGCAACTTTTAATGTTACAACATACGTTGTAATTAGTTTTAACTTATATATGTTATAACTTATAATATTGCAACATATGTTGCAACTAATTTTAGTTTATGTTGCAATATGTTGTAAATTTAAAATTAATTGCTATACCATCTTTAGTTACAACTATCTCCTATAAGGTGAAAGAAGTCACTATACTTTATGTAATGATTGATAGTGGATCAGATTTGTTAATAATCTCAAAAAATGTTGCAAAGTATTTGGGACTTAAAATAGATAGTAAGAAGGTTAATCTATTATTTATATATTTAATAATAACTAAAAATATAATCTAGCACTGTTCAATTCTGTTCCACTTTGATCTGATCTGATTTTCATGAAATTATTTTAACTAATTAAAAAATGGCAAGAATTGAACAGATAAATGCTGAGTTGATCTGTTCCATTTTTAAATTTTAACCAATCATGTCAATTGAACACATGCAGACTATGCTTTATTCTTATTAATAATGGAAGAGATAGATGATTCTTTTAAAAATGAACCAAACCTAAATGAATTAGATGATGATAACTATGAACTAATAAAAATAGTTCTTCTTGCTTTGTCTTCTAGTCATTATCTTGTTTCTCAAACACATAATATTGTTAAATCTAAACATTGGTGGTATGAAATCTTACCTTTATATGATAATATATGATATAAAAAAGTATTAAGAATGGAAAAACAACAATTTAATAGGCTAGTATAAATCTTACAGCATAATATAGTATTTCAAGACAAAGGAAATAAGCCACAAGTATCTGTTGATTTTCAATTAGCAATATTTCTTCGATGACTTGGTTCTAAAGATGACATTATGAGTATTTGTTGATTTTGAGTATCAGAAGGTTTTGTAATTCTTTATATTAATCATGTAATAAAGGCAATAAGAAATAAAAAATTAGAATTTGTTCAATGGCCTAAAGACAATAATCGAAGTGTTATTTATACAGGATTTCAAAATATTGGTGGATTTCAAAATAATATAGAAGCTATAGATGGAACTCATTTTATTTTAACTGAGATATCAATACAAGATCTAATAGCATACTTTACAAGGAAAAAAAGATATGCAATTCAATATCAAGAAATTGTTGATTTTAAAGGAATTTTTATTCATTATGTAATAGAATGATCTGGATCAGTACATGATGCATAAGTTTATAGCAATTCAGATTTTTATCTTAATAGAACAGAATATAATTAAGATGAAGATTATGTGCTAGGTGATACAGCATATCCAATTTTCCCTTTTTTGATATCTTCTTTTAAAAATCCTTCTAATCATAAGCAACGTTAGTTTAATTTTATTCATTCAAAGCATAGGGTTATTGTAGAACATGCATTTAGTAGATTGAAAGCTAGATTTAAAGCTTTAAAAGAAATCTCTGTTAAAGATTTAAAAACAGCTATTAATTTAGCTGATTGTGTTATAATATTACATAATTTTCTTGAAATGAGTGACGAAACTTGGGAAATTATAGAATAAGATGATTATGAGTATAATAATCAATATAATTTTGATAATAAAAGTAATGAGATTTTGAAGTTAGAAGGAGAATTTAAAAGAGAAGAAATGTTAAATCAATTTGTTGTATAAATAAATTCTAGGATAATTAGTAAAATAAAATTTACATTTGTAAACTTAAAATTTAAAATAAATGTGTTTTATTTATAAAAATGATAAATAAATCAATGCCGAATGACAATAAGAAATCGTTCAATACAAATCGAATGATAAAAAATTATCATTCAGTTCGAATGATGATAATGAATTATTCGATGCAAATTGAATGATAAAAAAAACTATCATTCAATCAAATTGAATGATAAAATCATCATTCAATTCTAAACGATAATAATGAATCATTCGATACAAATCGAATGATAAAAAAAATCATTCAGTTCAAATGATGATGACAAATCATTCGATACAAATCGAATGATAAAAGAATCATCATTCAGTTTGAACGATGATGATGAATCGTTCGATGTAAATTGAATGATAAAATCATCATTCAATTCAGAACGATGATGATGAATCGTTCGATACAAATCAAATGATAAAATCATCGTTCAATTCTGAATGATGATGATAAATCATTCGATGCAAATCGAACGATAAAAAAAATCATCATTCAGTTTAAATGATGATGATGAATCATTCGATGCAAATCGAACGAAGCTGATATCGCGTTTCGTTAACAAAATGTTGACTTATATTTTATAAAAACACTTTAAAATTGAAATTATGAATAAAAATATTAATGAAAATTAAAATTTATAAATTGACATTTTATTAAAAAATTTATTAAGCAAAATCAAACAAATGCTTTATTATTCGTTATTTTTATGAAATTTTAACATTTCTAACTCCAATTTAACCTTTTCATTTTCAGCACGTAACTTTTCTATTTCTAGCTTACCCTTTTCTAATTCATATTGTTGAATTAATTTTTTTTCTTCTAATTCAAACTTTTTTTGAATTTCGCGTTCTTCTAAATCTAGTTTTTTTTATAAAACCTATCCCTTGACTCCCCCATTGTAGCAATCATTCCAAATAAACCTTTAATTCCATTTACTTTCTTTTTTTTTTAGTTTCATTAGCTTCATAATTTTCTTTATTATTTAAATTTTCATTATTAGAAATAGAATCTGTAGTTGAATAATCTGTAATATAATCTGAATTAACAGCTTTGCTTTGTACTAAAATTTTTTTCATTTGTGAAACCAAGCCTAATTTACACTTCCTTCACCAGTAGAATTAGCTTTTTTTTTTGCAAGTACATTTCACGTAACTTTCTCACCTTATTTCTAATTTGCTCAAAAGATCAACTAGACAATATATTTGCATTTACTATCTTTTGATAAACTTTTTTTTTCCTCGCTTCCATTCTTCTAAATGTTCACCCCAAAATGTAAGTAAACTTTTAATTTCTATATCTGTCCATTTGGTATTATCTTCATTTGGATTTTTTTCTTTTTGGAAAACCTTTTGTTTTCGTTTCTTACTTTTAACTGATGGCTAAATAGTATAAAAAATAAGTATCAGATATACAAATGTTTAATTAAAATTTAGATAAATTTTACTAAAAACAATTCTTTATAAATTTTTGTGAATCTTCTTGTATAGTAATAATATTTGTATCTAACTATTTATATAAATGTATTAATAATTATATTGAAAAGATTTTAGATAAAAAAAAAATACAAACCTCTGTAAGATCAATTAGTTCTTTAGAAATAGATGCTGACCCAAATGCAAACTCATTAGGAAAAAAATTTGAAATTTCTACTATGGTTGATTTTGGAAGTATAGGAACGGGCTTCAAATATGTATTAAATTTTGGATTCATTAAATTTAAACATATTGTCTTAACGATATGAAATGTAAGCGCGTTTTTTTTTCCAGAACATTTGGATCATGAAACTTTTTGATTTGTTGATCTATTTATTTAATCTGATCTTTAAATGATTTTAATTGGCTACTTAATTTTTTAATAACAGATCAGATTAAAATGGAATAGAATTGAATAGAGCTATTATATGAGATTTGTTTATCCAAAGTATGTCAATCATGATCGTTGGTTGGATACCCCTTTGATGCCCACTTTTTAGTAAGCAAAAAAAACAGAAAATTTTTTTTCGAAAAAAGGTAAAAAAAAAATATTAACAAAAAACAACACTGTTTAGACTATTTCGAATAATTTTATGTAGATAGGGGTGTGGGAAACAAAAAGAGAAATATTTTTGAAAGGTAGGGTTTTTTGTTTTGTTCGCAAGTTAAGCCATGGCCGCTGTTGAACAGGCACTTTTTTTAAGTAAAAATTCTTGGAAAAAATCCAACGAGGAAGAGAGTGGAGGGAATCAAATGGAAGCATCAAATGATAGTTGCTTCATAAGAATTGAAGCGATATTGACTAAGATCATACATCTTTTATTTTTTTTTTATTTTTCTATATATAAAAATTCATGTGATATAATGTCATTTTGACTATATATGGGATGAATGCTGGGAAAAGGGACCAAATCAACAAAAAATTTTTTTTTTGAAATAACAAATAATTTGAATTAGATGACCAAATCTACATCTATTTTACTTAGAAACTTTTTTTTAAAAAAAAAATCAATTTGGTCTATAATGTGTAACAGGTTACACTGATTATATAACTTAAAGCAATGATAGGTTTTAAACTTATTTTTTAATTTTAAATATTTTGGACAAGGTTTTGGACATATGAAATTGTGTCTAAAACCTGTCCAAAATCTGTCCAAAACTATCCAAAATTGTCCAATTGCTCAATACTGACTTAAAGTGTATAGCATATTTTTCAAAAAAAGTATTTAAGTCAAATTATACTTAAAAACCCAACCCACCGCTTTAAGTAAACTTGCAGAACAAGCAAAAATACATTTACATATATTATTTTTAAGTCTAAATATAAGTTTATTAAGGTTTGGTTTTGAAAAAGGAAAAAATTTCATAAAAAGTTGTCTGTAATGACAATTATTTGTCAATCATATCCAAAAATGTAATTTAAAGTATTATATATCTAGTGTATCCTGTCACACATTAAAGTTATACTTATACATGAAGTTGAAATGAAAACCCAAAAGTTGAAATGTTTCAACTTTGGAGGTCAAAGTCAAAATGAAAAGTCAAAATAGTTGAAATAACGTCATATCACATGATTTTATATATAAAAAAATAAAAGATATACAATCTTAGTCAATATCTCTCTGATTCATATGATATAACTACTATTCGATTCTCGTGACTAGATGAATCTAATGAGCTAACATTCATTGATTTTGGATCAGTTTTTTTTTTAAAGACGCAGTAATGTATTTATTTATTATAAAAATTCATAATCAGTTAATTAAAACATGAAAATCCCAAAAAGGGTACAAATGTAGAAAAATAAAAAATGCTGTCTAATAATTATCATTAGTAGACTAACTCCAATCAGATATACCAGTTATCCCGTCAGACTCTGGTAATAATTACTAATAGAATTACCATCGCTAACCAACTAAAGAAGAGAAAAACGTTCGACAAATAGTTATTACTGTATTAGGAGAAGGACTATTTTCGTCCATAAACATATGATTTGGTCATAAGGAAAGTATGATCATATTTATTTTCAGGTAAAAACAATGATGAGTTTGAAAAACTGTTAATAGAAAATTGTTAGAAGGACTATAATTTCATTTTTTGCTATATTTCGAGATGTTAAATGATTGTTTTTTTTCTATAGTAGCTGCATATCTAGATTTCCAGATAACTTCGTAAGATTGATCAAAAATGTAATCATAAAATGGGGAAAGAATTTTAGAAGTGTGAGAGGAAGAATTGGTGAAGGAGTCGAGTAAATTTGGAAAAGCAGTAGGAACTATGCCTTTAATGAAATCTATGAACGTAATGTTATAAGGATCCTCTTTTAAAGCCCAAAAAGGATGTGATGGGAGTAACAATGAATTTATATCAGAAGGGTAGACTGTTCATGAAGTATGGATGAAAAGTTGATTTTTTAGGACATTTAGAGCGGCAGTGATGATTTGTTTCATCTCTTTTTTTCACTTTAGGACAAATCCATAAGTGATTAAAGTATTCTCTGTCTGTGTTGTAACAACAGCACATCTATGTTGAGTTATAGATTGTAAGTTGAGTTACTTTCATAAATTCTATTGTGAGAACTTGTTCAAATAGGAATTTAAGTCTTCTGCAGTGTGCTGAGACTCTTTAAAGGAGGTTTCAGTGGGAATGCTGAGTTTGATAAAATCAAAAGTTAATCACCAATTGATTTGAAGTTGACTGTATTTACTGTTTTTTTTAAGTAGTAGAAATCAATGAATTGTCTGGTGTTAGTATAGTCTTTAAGAAATGGACATAGTGTAATGAAGATAGGCATATTGTTGAATGTTAGAATGTAGGAGAAATAAGGAGTTTGGTTAAAGATTAAAGGTAAAGGTAATGACATTAATGAGGATTTGGTGAGTTGATCAACTCTATAGTTATGTGGATCATCAGAATGTGCAGTTACTTTTTTTAATATTAATGAAATATGTCATTCATCTATGAATTTAAAAATAAATGACCAATATACATTAAAAGGTATTTTGAATATCAATGAC